GAAGAAGAAGAAGAAGAAGAAGAAGAAGAAGAAGAAGAAGAAGAAGAGATGGGGTCACCTAGTTGTGGTGTTTGGGATTAGAGTCCATTATCATCTGCAAGTGTCAGCTACTCTGTCTTAACACGTGACCAACTTTTATGGGGTTGTTAAGAGGCTGAAATGAGATCATTTATAGAGCAGCATTGACTTCATTGCTCTATTACCATATCATCTTCAAAGTACAGTGTGACTTTCAGTTTATTGCATCATTCCCCCTACATACAAGAGGGTGCTGTTATCCTAGAGGAAGGCCTAAGAGAGATTCACGGCCCATTCTTGTAGAAAGGGTTGGAGGAGGAAGCTTGCCACGAGAGCACCAATTCATGAGAGGACGTCCGTTACCTAGCACTTGTCCCAGAAGCTGCAGAACAGGCCGAGGATGCTATTGATGACTTGGATAGCCACCAGGAGAAGCTGGAGGAGGCTGATGCACAGGAGGGTGGAGAAGAAGGCCACATGCCAAACAACAGCCTTAGAGGGCTCCAGGCAGACGGAGGTCCAGAGTGCGCGCTCATACAAATAATTCCTAGCCCCAAGAACAAGGAGGTCAGAGGTGGGGGAATAAATGAGAACTGACAATCAAGGAACTCCAGTAGAAAACACAAGGGTCAGGCCTCGCCTGGCTTGGTTCACCGGACTGGGTTTATGAGTGACTGTTACCTGTTGGGCAGGTCTTTGAAGGGATAGCCGAATTTCCAAGCTTGTGTCTGATTGAAGAATGTCACATCAAACATACAAAAGGGACCATCTTTCAAGGCTACTCCAGAAGTGACAAAGCAAATCAGGGCCCCAAGCAGAGCCAGGACACTTGACAACAGAGCAGTGAGAAACTGCAGAGGAGGCAGAAATAGAACCCACATGAGGCTGTGGTCAGGGACCCAGGGTGGGGGCCTGGGGTGTGGGACATGGCCAAGTCTGACTTCTCTGGTGGCCAGTCATTGTCTTACCCTATCATGGGGGTGGGGAGGGGACATATTCCTTTAAAACACACACACTCACAGAATCCAGGTTGATTATAACTACGTAGCTCAGGATGACCTTGAACTCCTGATCCTCCAGTCTCTGCCTTCCATAAATGGGTGTTAAGAGGAGTGAACCAACACACCAACTTGAGATATTTAAAGATCAGTACAGATGAAGAAGCTGTAATTAACAAAGGGCAAATTTATTCTGGTCCTTGGATCATTGTCTGTACAGTAGAAGAACTAGATTATAAACTGGTGATTGGATTATTTCTAATGGTAAGGAAAAAGTCTGTGTTTGTGTGGCCCACATATGAACAGGTGTGTGAGATGGGGGATACATGTATGTGGGTTGGGTTGGGTTGGTTCTGTGTTCGCTTCAGTGCTAGGCATCCACCGCAGTATTTCACGCATGTTAGGCAAATGCTCTTCCACTGAGTGACCCTCCAGCCCTCTAAGAAAATACTTAACTAGCCGAGCACCAGCACTGGGGATGTGAAGCAGGAGGATGATAAGCTCAAGGCTAGCTCCTGGCTACCTAGTGAAAAATTGTCTCAAGAAAACCCAAATAACCGGCACGGTGGTGCACGCCTGTAATCCCAGCACTTGGAGAGGTAGAGGTAGGCCGATCTCTGTGAGTTCTAGGCCAAACTGGTCTACAAAGCAGGTCCAGGACAGCCAAGGCTGCACAGAAAGACCCTGTCTCAAAAACAAATGAACCGACAAACAAAAACAAAAAGAAGAAAATAAAAACCAAATAGGGGTTGGAGAAAGATGGCTCAGCTGTTAAGAGCACTGGTTGCCCTTCCAGAGGACCTGAGTTTTATTCCCAACACCTACATGACAGCTCACAACTATCTGTAAGTCCAGTTCCGGCCTCCACAGATACCAGGCACATAAACGGCACACAAACATACAAGCAGCCACCACACACATGAAATCAAATATAAAATAACTAAGTAAATACATTTAAAAAAAACAGCCAGGAATTTTTCTATAAAAGATATATAATTACAGTATACATAAATTCTATTCATACTATTAGGTATCAAAGAAAATAGCAGCTTATCACATTTCCCAGACATTTGTGGTTCATTAGCCACTTCCTCCTTTGCCCTGACCAACTCCCTTCTTAGAGATGAGACTGGAAAACTTAAGTCACTTGCCAAGAGTTTGGAGTTGTTAAATGGCATAGGCAGGAGCTGACTTCAAGCCTGAAAACTAAAATCGCCCCTTGAGCCTTCTGCCTCTAAAGCAGAGGATGCAAGAGTTGTGTTAAAGGCGGAGAGAGGAGCTGACGCTTACGTGCAGACAGGGTGCGCTCTTACTGAGGAAGCCCGTCAGGGAGATGAGAGTCGCAGCCAGGAGCACCTGCAGAGCAGAGAAGTGTGTTAGCAGGAGACGAGCTGGAGCAGGTTAAGAACACAGATGTTCTTTCAGAGGACTCAGGTCTGGTTTCCAGCACACACAACGGCTGACAACTCCAGCTCCAGAGAATATGACACCCTCTTCTGGCCTCTGAAGGTTCCTGTACCCACGCGGTACACAGACGTACCCACAGTCAAAACACCCACACACTAAAATAAATAAACCTAAGAGACTGGGTGAGTTACAATTCTGGCGGCTGCACATAGCTGTTGTAAGGGACTTTGGGTCCAGGTTGGAGGGTTAACCTGCTTTGACTCTAGCATTCATCCTGGCTTTCTGGATACAAGCTAAAAAACCCAGCAACCCATGACAAGTCCCCCTTTTCCGTGGACCATTTATGGGCTCAATGCCAGCTTGTTGGAACACCCCAACACCACCCCGCAGCCCCATCCCTTAAAGGAGGCTTTGGGAATTCCCACCCACCGAACCCAAGACACCTACCATGAGGCCTCCTCCCCAGAGCCCAGAGCCCAGCACGGCGTGCTTGCCAATGAGGCCCCTCGTCAGATAGGTCACGTCCCAGTTAGGGAAGAGGAGTGCGATGTTGGCCCCAGCAGCAAACAGGGATGAAGTCCCGAGGCTCAGCCCTAGGAAGCGGGCACAGGTCCGCGAGCAAGCCATTGTGCGGCGAAAAGACGGCACCCTGGAATGATGGGTGAGGGTCAGAGCAGGGCAAGGGCGGGAGTACCCAACAGGATGTGGTACATGACAAAATGGAGATGGCTTCTGTGAGCAGGTCATATCAAGGACAGTTGCAGAACTTTTTTTTTTTTTTTTAACACACACTGAATTTCTAAGCCTTCCCCAATAAATAGGCATTGCAGCCTCCATTTTTATGCCAGGCTTCTATCACACACATTCCCACAGCCCATCCTATTCTGTGTGTGCCCTGTTATAACCAGTGGTTATTTCTCTACTTGTCTTTAAAATTGTGTTTACACTTTATTCATTTACGTGTGCGCACGGGGCATTTGTGTGACACATCCATGCGTGGAGGTTAGGGGACAGCTTCCTCCATCCTCCCTCTCTCTTTGGTTTTTCAAGACAGAGTTCCTCTGTGTAGCCCTGGTTGTCCTAGACTTGCTTTGTAAAGAAGGCTGGCCTCGAATTCTGAGATCCGCCTGCCTCTGCCTGCTCAGTGCTGGGATTAAAGGCATCCCTATCAATTTCCCTTAAAGAAAAATTATTCATTTTATGCATATGGATGTTTTATCTGCATGTACATCTATCTGCACCCGGAAGAGGTCACCTGATTCCACAAGACTACAGTTATAGACAGTTGTGAGCCATTGGGAACTGAACCTCTGAAAAAGCAGCCAGTGTTCTTAACTGCTGAGCCATCTGCACAGCCCCAGAGGACAATTTTTATTTTTTAATTTTGTTTGTTTTTGTTTTTGTTTTTGTTTTTAGAGACAGGGTTTCTCTGTGTGGCCCTGGCTGTCCTGGAACTCACTCTGTAGACCAGGCTGGCCTCGAACTCACAAAGATCCTCCTGCCTCTGCCTCCCTAGTGCTGGGATTAAAGGTGTAGGCCACTGCCTCTAGGCCCCAGAGGACAATTTTCAGGGCACACATGCAGACAGACTATTGCATACATAATAAATAAATAGATCTTAACAATGACAACAACAAAAAAACTTTAAAAAAATACCACTGACAGGAAGCATGGAAAGTGGACATCTTGATGACACTTTAAAAGCTTGTGTGGAATAGAGATCATCATCGGGTGTTGAAAAGACTCAGCAGGCAAAGGTGCTTGCCACCAAGCCTGACAAGTTGAGTTCAATCTCGGGAACCCACATGATAGAAGGAGAGAATGGACTCTTGAAAATTGTCCTCTGGGGCCTGGAGGCAGTGGCATACGCAACAACAAACAACAACAGCAAAAGAAAACCATTGAGTTGGCTGGAGAAATGGCTCAGAGGTGAAGAGCACTGGCTCTTCTTCCAGAGGTCCTGAGTTCAATTCCCAGCAATCACACGGTGGCTCACGGCCATCTATAATGAGATCTGGTGCCCTCTTCTGGCATGCAGGTGTACACGCAGGCAGAACATAGTATACATAACAAATAAATAAATCTTAAAAAAAAAAAGTTTGGGCCAGGTCATATGAGCCTAGGATTTTAATGCTAGCCTGGGGGTGGGAAGACAGACTGACTGACTCCTGTTAGAGGTTTGTCTTTATGTTGTTTTACTTAGGACAAGGTCTCACTGTGTGGAGTGGCTGATCCAGACCTCACCATGAACAACAACCTGCCTCAGACTTAAGAGCTCAGCCTGCTTCTGCCTTTGGGAGTGCACCACCAACCATACCCAGCCCTGTCAGCCTTTATACATGTATATGCATTGTGGGTGAGGACAAGAAGAATCAGAATAGTCCCACACTGCTGGTGAGAATGGGATGGTTAAACCGTTCTAGGAAACAGTTGTGGCACTGTCTTTTGACTAAACATTGACTTACCAAATCAACCAGTAATTCCAATGTTTTATGACAGTCCAGTGAAAATGTTTGCCCACACAAGCACTGATATTTGAATGTCCATAGTAGCTTTATTCGTAAAAGCTAAAATTAGACATGTGCTAATAACCCACCAACAAAATGTGTTTTATATGTGCATATAAGGAAATATTCAGCCATAAAAAGGAAGTTCTGGTCCATGATACAGGTGGCTCACACCTGAAATCCCAGTAATTTAGGAGGTTGAAGCAGAAAGAATATGACTGCATAGTGAGATTCGGGTCAGACAGGACGACAAAGAGAGACCCTGTCTCAAAAACAAAAACAAAAACTGAACACAAATAAAGAAGACTTCAAACCAAAAAACTTGGTAAGTCTGTGGTAAGGAGGTGGTTGCCAGAAACAGCACTGAAGAGGTAGGCTTTCTCCTCAGCTGGGCTCCACAGCCCTTGGTGGCTTGTGACTCCCCTCAGCCCATGTTCTCCTCCCTTCCCCCAAGCACCTACTGCCTGCTGCAGTTTTTCTGTTCTGTGTGGTGAGTGGCCTTTCCCAAGCCCTTTCACACCGAATAAAGTAGCTTGCTCCAAGTGAAAGGGCTTCTGGGTCTCGGTAGAGGATGGGGCTCATGCTAGGAGAGCTGGGGTTGGAGGTGAAGGGCAGATTTCACCCAGGGACACCAGGGACCAGGAGGGGAAGGGGTTGTGAGGAGCTAGAAAAGATGACAGAAGCCACCTTCTGAAGCCCCTTGCACCTTCTGAAGCTCCTTGAACCAGAAGAAGCCTCCCAGGCCCATTAGGATGTGACCCTTTCCAGCATCAAGAGGCAAGGCCCTCTAGAAAATATTCCTCCCTGCCATGCTGGAGGTTGTGTTCTTCTGGTTTTGTTTTTTTTTCCTTGGTACTAAGTTCCTCATCGTCTTGTGATCTGGGCCCTCCTCCCCCCCCCCCCCCATTATCTTGCCATTTAAGGGCAGTGCTCCACTTTTGACATTAACTAACCCGCTATCTCTCAGAGGCCTGATTTCATCAGGGTCCAGAAAGAACTGATAGATTACTGGCCATTCAGGAATGTGATTTTTTTTTTTTAAATGTGATTCAATTGTTTTAATTACTTTTCCTTTCTTTCTTTCTTTTTTCTTTTTTCAAGACAGGGTTTCTCTGTGTAGCCTTGGCTGTCCTGGAAGTCCCTCTGTAGACCAGGCTGGGCAGGAACTTATATCACAGAGGTCCACCTACCTCTGCCTCCCAAGTGCTGGGATTAAAGGTGTGTGCCACCACTGCCCACAGAATGAGGTTGCTTTTTTAAAAAAATTTTAATGTATTTATTTACATATTTTTAATTTACATATATTAGTGCTCTCTCTGCATGCCAGAAGAGGGCATCAGACCCCAGTATATATGGTTGTGAGCAACCATGTGGTTGCTGGGAATCAAACTCAGGACCTCTGGAAGGGCAGCCAGTGCTCTTAACCATCTCTCTAGCCACAGAATGTTTTTGGAGCCTGGCCAAGGAGCCACTTTTAGCCAGGAATGCCTTTAACACCTGCTCATACCACTAGTGAATGAGGTGTTTCCAGAACCTTCCAAGTACCAAAACCAAACTCTCCTGCGGCGGTTTCCTCTCAGAAAAGTCACAGGAAAGCCTTGAAAATTAGCAAGCCTGAATCAGGCATGGCGACACACACCTATAACCCCAGACTTGGGAAGTAGAAACAAGCAGATTAGGAGTTCAAGGCTGTCTTCCACATAATGAGTTTGAGGCCATCCATGGCTAAAAGAGACCTTGTCTAAAAAACTCCCAAATGAAACAAACAAGAAAAGACTCTCAGTTATTACTGAACTTTAGATAATCAACAAATGAATAATTCTTGAAGTCAGGCGTGTCGGTGTGTGCCTGTTATCCCAGTTTCTTGGGACTGGAAGCAAGAGACTTAAAGTTGGTGGCGCAGGCCTTTAATCCCAGAACTTAGGAGGCAGAGGCCAGATCTCTGTGAATTCAAAGTCGGCCTAGTCTACAAAGTGAGTTGCAGGAAATCCAGGGCTATCCAGAAAAACTCTTTCTCGAAAACTGAGAGAGAGAGAGAAACAATTTAGAGTTCAAGGCCAACCTTGGCTACATGGTGTAATAGAGACCAGCCAAGGCTACTTGAGTCTAGGCTCAAAATAAATAAATAACCAACTAAACAAAGTAAACATATTTAGACAAATAGAGGAAAAGCCACAAACCTGAGTGTGGTCTTTAGGGCGAGTGGAATTCAGAGACCCTATAACAATGGGCTCACGGTGCCTTGGTGAGGCACCAAGTCAGAATCAACATGGCCAAGCCGAAAGGGAGTAGAGAAGGATGTGTTACATGTATTGTCAAAGAGAGCAAATGCAGGAGGGGGATTTGACTCAGGGGCCTCCTCCTAGTCGTACAGGGGTGGGCCCTCTGTGTGAAAGTACACATACACAAGCATGCTCAGCGAAGTCATTCTGAGCAAGCTCAAGTTGAGTCTTAATCTAAAATGAAAAACTAGACATATTTGGGGGGGGGAGGCGCACACATGTAGAAGTGATGGGCAGAAATATCTCTGGGCACACTCAGCTTGAAACATAAGATTTCAGCTGGAAACAGAGGAAAAGAATACTTTGATGGAGAATGAACACAAACGTTTGCCCTTGAAGGTGCTGGCTTTGCTTAGTCACTCGTGACCCTTGGCTGGCCTGCCCATCAGGCTCTACACTAAGGGCAAGGAGTCCTGACTCAGTCTAAAGACAGAGGGGACTGTGACTTGCTTTGACTTTCACTTCCTATGACCGTTCCCATAGAAATCACAACACCCTGAGACATCCTTCCAAACAGGCAAGTCAGAAGATTAGCAAAGAGGTTGCTCTTCATGTGAGCAGAGACAGGCGGGATCAGAAGGTCAAAGTTGGTTTTGTTTGTTTTTGAGACAAGGTCTCTTGTAGCCCAGACCTTGAATTTGTGGCCTTGAATGCCTGGTCTTTCTGATTCCATTTCCCAAATGCTAGGACCTCAGGCACGCACCATCATGCCCCAAAAGTCAAATCTTAACAGGAGGCTGTAGAGGAAGCCCTTGTTCGAACCTGAGATGCAGGCTGTGTGAACCAGTCACCGGCCACTGTCTTGGCTCAGGAGCAATCGTCTCAGAGGAAGAGTGTAAATTCCATGTCTGTGTTTTCCC